ATGAGCTGACGGGTCAGTCTATCAGTCAAAACTTTCTGATTTTTAGACCTTTGCAGAGTTTGATAACATCAGTGGATAAGATCGGCTTCACATTCAAGTATCAGCTGAACACTGATCTCCAAACATTAAGTAAATTAAGATCAATTTATCAATGCACCCCCTAAACAAAAAAGACGCCAAGGTTGACTCCAGATTGAGTAGAGTTCTCTGCAGCTGTGGCGCCACTCTTCAGAATGTGTCACATTTTTCCAGAGGTTGCAGAAAACCAAACTCCAGTCAAACCGTCTCTCCCCTAGTTGTATATGGCGATGTTTTAAAAAGCACATGCTACAAGGTAATAAGCATGAGGAAATGGAAGGGGTTTGGTGGAAAATCCTGCATGTGTTTCACTTTGAATAGTGAGTGTACATGAGGAGCAAAGCAGTGTGTTCTGCTGGGCTTTCGCATTACTTTCACTTGACCTCCTTCTTTGAAGTTTCCCTACAAATTCATCTTCTGAATGTGTCTTCAGAGCTGGAAAGTTGTTTATAAGAGCACAACACTGAAGGCTGTTTCTACACTAAATTATTCACATCCTTTAATGCTGCTGTAATGTTCATCTACTTATTTTTGCTTACATTACACTGTTATGTGCTTCTGGTGTTCACTGTGTCTTGTGAAATGTTAAATATCTCCATAAAAACCCAACCATACACACAGATGTTACAACATTAAATGTTTATGTGATGCCATATATTCTACATTGAAAAAGAAAATAAAAAAATTCAACTTTTATCATTTTTATATTTTTTTTATGGTTTTAATGAATATTGACTTCAATCTTCAATAATTGTACAAAGAGCCACCAGCATCTGCATCTTAAAACACTGCATCCAAAAACAAATACAAAACAAATTCTTCTCAGGCCCAAAAACATATTTTTCACCCAGTAATTTAAGCATTTTATGTTAGTCATATTTTTTCTTCATTCACATATTTCAGATTGAAACATTTTCAGATGTGTGTAAAAACTGTCAGAAGGAGTTTCACTGATAGACAGTGACATTTTGTCCCGAATTGGCAAACATCCAGTTAATCGCATCAGCCAGAGAAACGCACACTGGCTTTCAGACAAAAACTATTTTAAAAGGATTTCATCCTTTAAGAAGGTTTTTTGAAGATTTGTTAAAGGAACCAGACCAAAAATGATCTAAAAGCATAAAAACTAGTTGCATCTGGATGCTCCTCACAAAGGTCTCATCATTTTTTGCCATATTTTGTGAACAAAAGGAAAGAATAATGTGATATTTGGCTCCAAGCCTCGGCTTTCTCTTTTATTCCAATGCGGATTGTAAAACAGGCAATGAAAATCCCTCTGCCACCTTAGTGACTCTGCTGCCGGCGCCATTTTCAGGAGCCGCAGAAGGACGGACACCTGACCTTGACAAATTATCAGCTGGCTGACACTGAAATGTCTATTTCACACACCATTTCATTCCAAAGGACTTTAAACCCTGAACGACCATTGCAACAGTTGTTACAGTCAACATTTTGCCATACGTAATGTCCAGCCGGTCAGGCGCCGGCTCCGCTGTTAGTCCAGGAAGAAAAGAAGGAGCAGACCTTCCCATCGTTACCAGAACAGCTGGCATGGCAGCCGCCAGGAGGACCAGGCGCGTCGCTGTTGTCGCTAGTTTGGTGAGGGAAGCAGCTGGGCGGGCCTGGTATTGAAGAAACCATCACTGAACACACTGGATCTTAAAAATGCACACACCTGTTACACAGGTTACATTTGAGCCTTTCTCCATCACAAGACAGAACAATTTGTCTATGGAGGTAAATTTGGAAAGACTGTGAAACCTAAAAGATCTGATTTTATTTTCAGAGTCCAAACTTGATGATACCACCCAGGTAATCCACTTTAGATATACCTTATATGCTTTTGGTTGGTGTATTTTAGGTTTATTTTTTATTTTTTATTTTTTACATTTCTAACTGTTTCAGTTTTCTTCTTTTACATTCTATTTTTTTTAAATTTCCCAGAAACACAGCTGCTGTTTCTGTCAATGTTTCATTGAAAGTAACTGATTTGGAAATATTTTCTTTTGCCTGATTTTGCTGGTGTTTCTTATTTATATATTTTATCATTTTTAAAATACCAAAATTTAACCTAACATTTTAGTCCATCTGATCATGTATTTTTTAACTATCAAGTGATTGATAATTGGACTTTTTACCAAATACTTTTATACTCTTACTTGAGCAACTTGTTGGATGGCCACTTTTTACTTTTACTTGAGTAAAAATATGCTGACGTTGTGCTACTCTTGCTTTATATATAATTTTGGGGTTCTCTGTCCACCTCTGGCTATAAGGCACGCCCCAAAGCAGACACACATACATCAACTCTACCCAAAAAGCCCTTGTCTCTCATGCATCAACACCTTTTCTTTCCATTTGACAGACTGCTCCGCCCGCTAGTTTAAGATGCAACGCGTTTCTCCTAATATGCCCAAAGAGCACGAAGCTCTAATCTAATTAGAGTGTCAGTCAGCAGAGTGTTCAGCCAAAGAGAAATTAGGAAAGCACAAAATCTACAAACAGGGGGGGAAAAAAAATCTTCTAGCAGGAATGTAGCATATCTAACCGCCCCACCAGATTCTCCCCACCCACCACCACCACCACCACCTTCGTCTTGTGATATTTTTTTAATGGGCTCACTCTTGCCCCCGCTGAGATTCATTACCTGGCCTAATTATAAAGGCAAATGAAATCAGCTCAATACATTATTAATAGAGAAGCACTATTGGGATTCATTTGCAGCATTTTCAACAATATGGTATATTCCAACTGTTTTCATGCCTGATTTAGCACACACACCGATAAGAATGAGGTACGTGAATAAGGTGGAAGTGAAGAGAGCGAGGATGACTTCAAAGATGGACTGGACAGAAAGAGTTTTGAGCAGAAGAAGGGGAAAAAGGATGGAGCAAAGAAAGGTTTTGGAGGAGGAGGGGGTAGGGATTAAAGAGAGAGCTGGTTTTTCCACTTGAGGGGCTATTGATGCTATATTGGATGCAGCTACTTATGAACAGGTGTGCCATGTGTGGAGGACTGTGACCCAGGCACCACTTCCTGCATGGCTACACATCCGATTGAGGCGCATTGGAGCCGGACAGAGAGAAAGCCAGAGAGAGGGAGAGGCAGGCATCAACCCCCTCGGGCCTAAGATGAAGGGACAGCCGTGCCGCATCCTCCCTCCTTCAAACCAGTAGGGTGAAAGCGAGGAGCGCAGCCCAGCCACCGCAAGACTACAGCTTCAGAGTGCAAGCAACCATGAATAAAAACGGACTTTGCAGAGAAGTAGGGCTTATAATTATTCGCTCTGAATCAGTTAAAGCCTTTTTTCAAATATCCCCCAGGAGGTATCAGGTTAAAAATCCATTTGTGGGAAGTGTATCATGACAGGGAGCTCATCTCCCTGGAGACAGACGATATGACAACAGGGGAAGTGCATAAATATCTATTTTACATGTTTATATAAAACATATACAGACATGTGAAAAAGGAAGGGTGTTGTGTTTAACTGGTATGTGTCTCTGTCTCTGTGACGTGTAAAGAAAAGTAAATATTCTTTAAACTGGATGAGCAGATTTTATAAGGATTTCTGAATTTCAGTGGTTTATTAACCAAACATTCTCCAATATTCTCCTTGAAAAAGGACGCAAAACAGCTCAGATCATTTACTGCTTGAGCAAAACCAACTTAACTGTAATTACTTTAAATTTGAAGACTATTTAGCTCATTTGAAAACTTTTGTTTGTTCCAAAATATATGGCATCAATTCTTTAAAAAAAAAACCTTCCTTAGTTTTATTAAACTTAACTTTAACTGAAACATTTTTTTTAAAAATCGAACCGTTTCAATGCTTTGATCCAGTTTTATGTATGAATCGAAGAGTAAATGTACTTAAGGTACACATTTAGATTTAAATTAATCTTTTTAGTCTAATTAACAATTTAGAGACTCAACTTAAATCTTATTGAAAATCTGTGATGGGAATAAAAATTAGGGTGATGATAGGGAGGCCCCTAATCTCAGACTTCGAGCTGGTCACCAAAGATAAATGGACAAAACACCAAATGGCACGTGCTAAAATCTTATTTGTATTTGTAAGAAAGGTTAATTGTTGAAATACCAATAAATATTTTCCATGGACAAAAGAGAAAAGTGAACACATATGCAGTTTTTAAAAATAAATTGTTGAAAACTGAGCCTGCTTTTACATTCTTTTATCTGCTGAGAAACATTTGTCTCATCTCCTATCAGATACAAACTTTTAATATACAACTCCTATACAAACTCCTATTCCTTTTCAAACAAAAAGTAAGTGGTAAACTTGGTTATGTGTGCACATGTTTTCTCTGCCCTAATGTCTGCTTGTCCTCTTGTTTTTACAAGGTTGTTTGAAATACATAAATCAATCAAATAACTCAAGCTTCTTGGCTGAATGATCCAAATCTAAATCTGTCACCAGTATGAATAATTTTGGGCTTAACAGGAAATGTAGGTGCGAATGTTATGTTGGCATTTAAATGTTTATAAATTGAACAGTCAGTGAAGCACAGCAGCATACACATCACAGAATTTAATTTTTTTCCTTTTCTAGATTAAAAGTATCACCCTATCGCGTTAAAGGTCAACTGCAAGAAATGCAAAGTTCAACACATTGGAAAAATGAAGCTCTACCACAAGGTTTGATAATGGCCATAAAAATACCGACGTCAAAAGCGAACAGTTTTACCGAGTGTGAGTAAACACAGAGCTCGTTTTGGCACTAATTATCCCTCTGATGCTGATCACATTGCCATTTAGCGCTAACAAGTTGGAAACTGCTAGACTGAAGTGGAGGTTGGTGGGAACGGGCTGCAGGTGGGAAGTTATGTTTGTTTATAAGTTAAACGGAGAGGAGAAAAAAAAGACCCTGGGAAAGACGAAAACAAGCTGGAGGTCTACTTTACCGTCACGCCGTCTTTCCACACATGCTCCTTCTGCAGCTGCTCGGCCTCTCGGACCAGTTTCTGGAAGAAAACACAAAAAAGTAAACATCAGAAATCTGCAGGATACTGATTGAGAGTCAGGATTAGGGACCAACAAGCAAAAATGATCCAGGAGAAAATTTTTGAAGTCAACACGTTATTTTGGCTGTTACAATTTTTTAAATTTTTTAACGTTACAAATTTTGATTTTTATCCTATATGTGGCATTTAGTTTTGCTTCGTGGACTTAATCTTATTTTGTTTGTTTTAATAGTTTGTGTGTGGATAACACAAACTATTAAAGACTTTCTTTCATACTTACCAGCACAAACACTGTGATTTGTAACAAAAAAAATATTTGTAAGTGCAAATGTATAAAAAAAATAAAGAAAAATTAACATTTCCTTTATTTTAAACAATTATTATATAGACCTTTATAGCAAATGCTATGAAAAATATAAACTACATTTTTCTACAAGTAGTAATCCAACTAAAACATTGCCAAACAATGCTTCAATGCCTTATTTCTGTAAATCTCTGTTATCAGGTTATGTTGAGATAAAATGTTAAAATACAAAATACTTGGTAATACTTTTTTATCATAACACTATAGCTATATGTTATAACACATAAAGAAATGAGTACAGCAGCTGATGGAAAATTCAGTTCATATTTGTTTGTTTACAAGTTTCACTGACAGCTCCATGTTATCCTGGCATATAAACAAGATGTGATACAAAAGCACTTTTCTCAGCCTCTTCAAAATGGGAATTATGAGAAAATATGGCATTCAAAGAAAGGGGGTGTGTTGATTTTCATAAGTCAGACACACCTAAACTTTCTAGCTGCAGAGCAATAATTAAATTGTTTAATGTGATAAACAAAGATGGATGAGGATGAGAAGAATGGCAGCTGATGTGAAAAACTGTCCAACATTTGCTGTTAAAGAACTGCAGCACAGAATGACATATTCAGGTAATTTAGTTGACCGTTAGATGATGTCAATAGCACACACCACCTAATGATATGGAGGCATGCGGGAAAAATGTTTTTCTGTCCTTCCTTCACAAATATGGAGTTAGTGATAAACTGCTGTGTATATAAGCAGATCTGAGCTTTGATTGAATTAATAACTTCAGCCTTCAGGAAACATTTACTCTTCTTGTAATAGTGATGCTGTGGGCCATTTTGCCTTGCATTTCCTTTGGAAATGGCATCATGAACTTCTTGAACTTCTTGAAATGTTCCAAGAAGTTGAAATGTACGAGTTGAAGGTAAAACCTGACAGGCTCTAGAAAAAGAAACAAAAATGGGAAACGTACTGACGTACTGAAGACAGGTTTGCTTTTACAGGATCCAAACTCTTTTCACAGCCATTTCAGTCCTCACTTCAATCTAATGTGTCTGTGAATGTTTTATCCTAAATTACCATAAAGTACCCCTGCAAGGTTATGTTGTAACAAAATGTGCTGTCATAATGTATCCGGATCTACAGCGCTTTTTGGATAACCTTGAAGAAACCTCTGCTACACATGCTTCTCGACTGGGAAGTAATCCAAGTAGCAAATACATCTCAGCCTTCAAAACGTCCCATCCTTCCTCCTCTTCTCCCTCACTTCCATCTTGTGTCTGTATCTAGGTTTCCACAGGCCTCTAGGGGGCGATGGTGAAATTATTTTTGTCCCAGAATGGCATGATTGGCCACAAATCCCCAAGGCTCTGAAATTATTCACCCCATTTAGACCCCCTGTTACAGTTAGAGCTCATTCATCTGTGGATGGGCCATGAAGATTCCCGTCACATATCAAGAGAGACGTTTTATCTGCGAAAAACACTCAAAATATAAACTCTCACTGTAATAGAAGCTATCTTATCTCAATAAGGTGCCCTGCCCACCTCTTCTTAGCGGCCCCAACAAAGCCTCTTCATATAATGTAAACAATTTCCTCTGGATAAAAACGTAAAGCTCCTATCATGAGGCAAACATACTATGCTGACTTAAAGTGTCAGCATAGTATGTTTTAGTACATATAGAAGTGCAATATGTAGATGATTTTGCACTGATTTTAATCCCTTGACTGCATATTTTATTTTAAAAAATAGCTAAAAATAATTTTAAAATGAACCTTTGATGGTGTACATCTGATAGGAATATAAACGACAAAATAAACTGCCAGCACAGCACAAACATAAGCTTGAGACGAAAGCCAAAGTAAGGAGATTTAAATATCCCGACCGTCTGTTAACTGGGGTAAACCGTCCTATAAATTTGGGGCAGACAGTGAAAAAGCCTAATCACCTTTATGTTGGATCTGCAATGCAGAGAAACTGGCTGGTTGACAGCAGCCTTCTTATGTTTGTTGGACTGGATAAGAAAGATGGAGCCAGTCCACCAAAACTTTGGAAGTAGGCGCTACTTTCAAAGTCAGTCTGGGAATGCAAATAGACAGAGGGTAAAGATACAAAGGCTGGATGTGAAGGACATGTTAGAAATTAATTTTGATCAACCCAAGCAAATTTTATTTCTAGTTTACTATTCTTAGCTGACAAGTGGGATTCAGTGTTCCCTTCTACTGCTGTTGCCCATCTGCTTCAAGGTCAGAAGAGTGGTACGTTTTGTATGGATATTTTACATAAACTGGTTCTAACAAACGGTTATTATTTGAGCTGTTGTTGACTTTCTATCAAATCAAACCAGGATACTCATTCTCCTCTGACATCAAAAAAAGGAGATTCACAGTTTCTGGAATATTCAGCAATGAGCTAGCCTGTAGTGTTTCCTTGTTCAGGTTAGGTCAATGGTCTATACAAAACATGTTCATCACATTTTTTGTACAAAATCTGACTTAGAATATGAGATTTCAGTCTGGTCAGTTCTGCCAATTTTGAGCTCCATCCAGAATGAGCAGGTATAGGGCATCTTGTCACTTTAAATCCAAATGAGCTGCTGCTGGCCACGCCCCCAACTCAACATTTACACTCATATGTGAAAAAGGCTGCAAACAGATCCAGAATTATATAACTGTATATCTTTGAAAAGCAGAACGCAGCAAGTGGTTTCTAAGTAGTAAGTCAACAACAAAACACATGTCTATTCCAGCAGCCATTGTACAGCACATACAGCAGTAAAACCAGATGACCAAATGTGCTGGAGCTCTGCTTGGGTTGCTAGGCAACACTCCTGGAAATGGCTGGGGCTGCTAGATAACGATGTGATGCCCGTGGAAAGAGACTTAGCAACAGGGAGGTTTTTGAAACACTTTATTTTCAGATACCAAAAAAAGAAAAAAATGTGGGTTTTTAATCACTTTAGCAGTGGAAGCAGTTGAGACCCAAATGGAAATACAAAAAAAAGCAAAATATGGATTTTGAATAATAGGTCCCATTGAAATCTCCTGATTTAAGTAATATTCTGATACTTAGTTTGAACTTAAGGAAGTCACTTAAATTCATTGTGTTTCTGCCACATGATCGGCTGATTCTGTCTCCGTCGTTGACGAACTACTCTTCATAATCCAAAATATCACCACCAAACACAGTTATAGAGTTTTAGAAAGGACAACAATTCAGTCATTTTTTATTAAACAGGATCAGTTTTGCAGCTAGTGGAATCACACTGGTAATCTCTTGGTAAAACTATAAACATTACACGAATCCGTTTGGGATTTTAAAAAAGCAGCCACACAATAATCTCCAGGGATATTTGATTTCATTTTGCTGTAACAGTATGTATGTGACTTGGATATTTATTAATGCATTGTATTTTGCATTGGTTGATATTAATCACAAGCAGATCTTTCATCCCTTTAGCTCAGTCTTTTTTGGGAGATTTAATCTCTCAGCAGAACTGTACTTTGTTCTTTTTGAATTTTCAGCTCATGTTTCTACATCTATTCTATGCTCCACCAGCTGTTTCTCCCCAAGCATTCCTCCAACCACTCCCCCTCCTGCTGGACAACCATTTCTCAGAGAACCTCTCTCTTCCAGAGCAGGTTAACTCAGCCCCCCTGCTACAAAATTGCCATGTGTCTTAGCGTGGCGTTCGCTCTTCTGTGTTAGCCCAGATGGATTGGCAAGACAAACAACCAATGAATCACAGTGAGCGATGTGGGAAGGAGGGGGGCAGGGATATATCATCTATGCTGGTGGCTGGAGCCCAAGCAGCTTAGAGAGCTGGATGAACATAGTGAGATCAGCACAGAACAGCCCAGATAAGCTCTGTACTGGCCCACTCAACACAGAAAATAACACAGCAGAGCACAGGCACAAACACACCAGAAGAGCCAACAGCACCAACATATACTGCAAAATACATCATGTTGTTGGTTATTTGTCACCCAGCCAACAGTCAAGGTCAAGAGCCAAACAGAGCTCTGTGATGGATAGTTAAACTTGAAGAGTGGGCACTTAAACACGGAGGAATCTGACATTTATAGCACTGTGCACATGTTTAAAACCACTTCTGAGGCATTCTTCGCCTCCAAAAAGCTGGACATTGTTGTAAAGATGATTTCATAAATAGTGTGGAGGTTTCTGGAGATCCTAAAGGCAGGTATGCTTTTAATTTCACTTATGCACAACTACAGCAGCATGCGTTGAAGCATTTTCTAAAAAAATATGACAATGTGGAGAGATGGAGGACAACAGAAGAAGAAGAAATAAAAAACTATTGACAGATGATAAACAGTATAGCATTAAGTAGCTAAGGTGTAATATATTTAACAAAAGGGACTAAATGACATGAAGGGATGATCAACTGCTATTTAACACAATTTCATCTTGAAAATAACAATCAAGAGTAATCAAGAAAAAAAAATAGGCACATTCATTTTTATTTAACCACTTAAAAATATTTCATACAATATTACAAATACATAAGAATGAAAGAAAAATAAAACAAAAAAAATTTGTATTGCTTAAAATGCAATAGATTCCTTTAGTGTAAACTGGATAACTTGTAGGACGCATCTGTGACTGCAAAAAATACTTCAGACATCAACATGTGAAAAGCTCAGCCTTTCTGCTCAACTTAATACTGTAAA